ATATATAGCAATTAAAATCTACAATTATACAACTATAAAAGCATAAGTTTCTGGATAGGTCTCATCCCATAGTCAGAAAAACATTTATTACAAGAAGTAAAATTTATTTTCCATCAGTTATACTCTATATTTCTTATAACTCATTCTATTGGATTGTTCGGAAAGTAGGTTTGTTTTTTTCCATGGAAAAAAAACAATATTTTTATAATAAATAAATATTTTATTGAATTATATATCAACCATTTTGGTCAAATACCTGTTGTCATCGTTTCTGGTAGTAGCATTATTTCACATTCATAAAAGTTTTGATCGTTGCTTACAAAAAAACGATCCAAGTGATTTTTGACATTGTCATTTCAAGTAAATGTCTTAAGAGTTAAAAAAAAATTTGTATAGACCGGAACAAGTAATAATCTGAGTGTGCTTGATCTGGCAAATACAGTATGGTTAGTGCGATAGTACGTCCCCTCTAAGTTATAACAGTTTCTGAGGAGTTACCAAACTTGTGTGAAATTTGACATTATTGTGGTAAAACACTACACCTTTTTTTGTTGATCAATTCTGGCCGCCTTTCCTGTTTGATGATATTACTCAATTTGTTTACTCGATGGCAGTACACTTTCGAATCAATTGTTAAATTGTCTGGTAATAGCTCCAAAAAAAAAAAAATTTCCTTAAAATCCCATCAAAGAGAGCATCTCTCTTTAAGAACATGTGGAACTCATATATCAAACTTTGAAACGAAACCAATTTGTTTCAAGTAATCATAAACAGTTCAATTTAACAAATTTAATCTCTTAGTGATTTCATGTGTTATTATTCAGCAGTTTGCTTCAATCAGTACCTTTATTTTGTTTTCATTGGTTTCAACTGGCCATCCAGAACGTGGTGCATCTTCAATATTGAAATTGCCAGAACGAAATTTTGTACACCAGTTTTGGCACTGTCTTTCTCTCAACACATCATCTCCATACGTGTACCACAATTTTTTTCTTGCTTGAACAGCATATTGATTTTTTGGTAATAAAAAAGCAAAATATGCCAAAAATGATGCTTTCGATCTTTCATATTTGACGGGACACAAAAAATAAACAATTGCACAGAATCAAACAAAATTTTTTACAAATAAGCCTTAAAATGCTAGCTGTCAAAATATATAATGATAATACGGTTTAGAATGAAAATGGCGGGAAAAATACGACTAAGCCGTCTAGTGGTAAAAAAAAAAACAAACTTTCTGAACAACCTAATAATATATACCAAATACAGGTATACCTCGCCTTCAGTCGGTAATTGGTTCCAGGAGAACGACTTAAGTCGAAAAACGACGTAAGTCGAATTTACTTGTCTCCGAATCTACTTGTCACTAGGCTAAACAATAAATTACTATTCCCAGTTCTGTATTTTATATATTAATGCATTTTTAATAATATATGGTTAATAAGAATCTATTTTAAGCTTACAAACAAATAAATTTTAGTTTTTAATAGAGTACAGAAAAAAGTAATCTAAATTTACGAATGCATGTACTGTACTGTAATTACAGTACATGCGTGTAAATGTGTATATTTTAATATGATTTTATGTGCTTTAAACGTTTTTCTAGTGATATTACGACTTCAATATTTGTGGCGGACGGACGTAAAGTCAAATAAAATGACTTAAACTTGATTTTTATTTTTTCGTATACTTTTTTGACGAACGACGTATAATCGGGAACGAAGTAACTCGAAACGACGTAAGTCGAGGTATAACTGTATAAACAACAGCATTCTTCCTTAAATTATTCTTTTGGATTAAGAATAAGATCATGTACTTTATAAAAAAATTTTCGTTTAATTCTGAGGACAAATGGCTTGTTGCATTTCAAAAACAGGCTCAATATCTAAATTTTCTGTTGTTATTGCTGCCACTTTAATAACATCTTCAAATTTCCCCTTTGAGAGAAAATATTTAAAATATTTTAGCATTTTGTTTTTATTTGTGTAAAATTTTAGAAAAATAAACCTCTGTCTCCCTTAACCAAAGTGTCCCCAAACACCTAAGACTGTAGACAACTCTATTATAGCATAAATTGTTATTTTAACATTTTTCAATATGTGTATATAATATTCATTGTCATATATGGAAGATGCAAAAAACAACATATATCATATATACAAAATGCTTAGAATAATAAATAATAGTTCTAATTTGAATGGACAAAGACCACAGACATGAATGTAGGTGTGGGTCACTCAAATGACACCAGGAATTTGAGATATAAAAATGAAAGTTGTTATCGCACATGCACTCATCATTAGAATTATCTGAATGAGAACCACTCAGTACTTTATGATCAAGATAATTTCAGCTTTAGTATGAACAATTCAGGTCAAATTTATAAAATAAAATTAATTTTAAGCAATAAACTCTATTGAAAATTTTCATTTTCTTTCTTTTTTTCATTTTTTTTTCTTGGTATCCCATTTACAGCTCAGAGCCATAATGCCTTGCACTCACTGTACCTCTGTGGCCAGTCATCACCTACAAGTAATGCAATAAACTCTTGCTAATCCAGTCATTTATTGTACAGAGTGGTATCAGATTAGTAAAGTATACAGGACTAAAGTCTGCCTAAAGACAATGAATGAAATGCCTGTGGCCATCACATACTGAAACTTTTTTGGAGCTGTACTGTTTTTGTTATCATGAAATTATGTACAGTGTTACAGTAACCGTAAGTTTAATTCTTATTCAAATTTAACATTACAAGTTTACAATATGTATTTCAAAAAAGCACAAATAAGAGACAAACATATTATAATGAAGGTATGCCAGATAAGTAAGAGGCAGATTAGCAAGATTGTACTGTACTTCAAAATTACAGGATGTTCAAAAAGTCTCTCCTTTGTAAGCATTGTAGATTGTGGTTGCTCCTTTTGGCTCATCAATTGGAGGCATTATGGCTGCTTCCCTATTCCATAGTTATGTGTAGGTAGTTTAATGTGTTATTTGCATGTATTGTATATGGTCCAGTATAACTTACTGTACTGTAATGTAATTGGCACAGCACTTGCATCCCTAATATTTGTATATCATTTATAAGCATCTATAAACAGTTTTTATTGCAATAGATAAAATCTCATTAATATTTTCTTGATTCTAAGATGCAGATTTTCTCTTCACATTTTAACATTTCTGAAACTAGGATTATCTTACAATAGATACAGAAAGAATATTGCCAGTTTTATAACTGTAAAAGAGCAAGCTGTGGACAGTTGCCATCATTTGCATGAGAAAACATCCTATCTGTCATTTTATTGTCATTTCAGTTACATTCATTGGTAATATAAGTATTGAATTTAATGAAAATTTAGATTGTGTCAGTTAAAACCTTTCCAAAAAGATGTATTATGCATTTAAAGTGCACAGAAATGAACCTGTAGGACATAAATAAATATATTGTACTCAATTATTTTAACATTTTAATCAAAATAAAAGTTGTAGATAATTGTATCCATAAATTTATATTGTTATAGATAAAAGAAAATTTAGTGAACTTCAATTTTAAATGAGTTAATTGTATCTTAGAATTAAAGAAATAGAATAATTATATTAAAAAGAGGAATTTATAAATGCGAATAAAAATCTTATATATATATATATATATATCTCTAAGTAGCAAATGTTTCAATGAATGGGCAATATTTTATAAATTTTTATAACTAAAATATGCTAATAATTAGATTTTGTTTTTAATGCATTAGAACAAGATCTATAATATAATTTAAAATATTGCTATAAAAAAAATTAATGTATTTACCTTCATTGCATGATATATTGGTAGACTTTGAAAACGCTGAAATTTTGCCGACTGAACACGAGGATGAAGCTGTAAATAAAATTTTATAGTCACGTGAAAAAAATGTCAATTAAAAAACTAAGCGTTTCACCTTTAAATAAGCTTTATTGGATTCTTCGTCACATTTTGTCATGTATATGTTCTTTAAAGTGCTCCAAGCTTTCTCTAATGGTACCGAAAGCTTTTCAATAGGTTCTATAACAGTATCGAATGTTTTCTCTTGTTTACCATCTATTAATAAACATTTTAAATGTAGTTGATATTTTAACATGTAATAAGTAAGCTTTCAGACTTATTTAACTTTGATAAACTTAACTTGATACTTTTAATCATGAACATTTTTGAACAAATATTTATATAATTATAAACATGTTACTAAACCTGATACATTGCAATAACACTCCTTCATCTGCATTATATATGGCAGTTAAAAGAGTGTTAGAACCACTACTTGGAAAACAGATCCTATACTATAAACTATCATAAAATGGCATTCTAATCTCTTCCTACTTCCAAGCCTTTCCAACTGATAAGGTTGGTTCATATTACCTGAGAATGGAAACGAGAAGAAAATATGTGTCTTTCTTTCTCCATTATTCTCTTCCCACAAGTATTCATACTTCAAAACAACAAAAAAGAAGCGCACATACACTTTTGGTACTTGCAGTTTAAAATATGGCACCTCTTAGCTACAACCAGAATACTTTCAGTCATAAAATTCTTAAAAAATGAGAGTATGTTTAGTTAATTTGAGAAGAAGCTAGAGCAAGAGAATATTATAATTATAAAAAAATTAAGGAAAATAATTTCAAAGTGCATTTTTGATATTAACTAAGATATTCTTTGGTACTCAATGTCAAATATGTTATACAATAAAATTAACTCTGATTTTCCATGTTAACAAAATTTTAATAACTTCAGAATTAACAAACTTTAATGATTGTCACAAATACTTTGACAGCTAATTCACATCTGTCATGTTCAGGTGAAATTAATCAAACAGAATGTTGCAATTTGGAACAGAAGTAAGCTTGAAAATTTGAATACACAACAACATTACGATAAGATTTTTGCTTTAAAAGAACAAATATATAACAAAATAAATTAATTAAAAGAAAACAAATATTTATATATGAGCACCTTAATTAAGAAGTTTATGAAGTGCTACGCAATGCCCTGGAAGTTCTAAAGTGGGGTTGTTACAAGATCTGTTGTAGGCTATACATAAAGCCTCTCATATGTAAAGCAGTTTCTGATTACAGTCATAGATGCGATTATTACACAAACATTTCTCTCCAAATAGGTACAAGCATAGAAGAAGAGGAATTCAATTTAGTTACAAAAGTTCTATTGTGTATAATTTTTATTGTATTTCATGTTAATTTTATTTTATGTTATTCCTTTGACTTGTTTCAATATTTATTCTATATTTAACATTGTGTTTATAGAATGTTTTAACTGTTGCCATATTGCATTTGAAAATTTTGGAATACTATGTAAAAAAAATTTTAAGTAATCACCATGCTGTTTAAACATTCCAGTTTGGAATACTCTGAAGAACACTCATTTCAAAATAGTTTGAAAACTAGAGGCAGACCTCTTAAAGAGGCCAAAAATGTTTGTTCCATTAAAATTTTTTTGCTGGAAAGAATATGGAAAGTGTTGAGTTGCTTACTGTAGAGGAAGAAGCTAGTCTAGATAATTCTGTTGTCTGCCTGCCATGAAATACATCCTTCTGATGCTCTGTAAGTTGGCACTCTATGTGGCTCCTACATACCAGATGTAAGAGATAGAGATGTTAGCCTTAACTGCTGCTTTAGACACCATTTCAGATTCAGCCAGTAACTTTCCACAACTATACTAATATTATAGTTCCATCCGAAGTAAAATGTACACTATAATGAAGACCTAAATTCATCCCTGAAACATAAGATCAATCTGAAGTTAATAATTCCTCCAATCATACTAGCCACAAAGGAAGTGAGGCAAGAGGAGACTTGATCTATGCTGAATATAGCCTCTGTGGCAGAAGTCTATAACTCTTCAAGGTCATGTAGACATTGACAGGCTACATTTACAAATGCTTTTAAGATTGAATGATTTAAAATTGTTAGTTTCTGTTCAAGTAAAGCAGTTTGTCCTTTGTAAGCATGTTGATTTCATCAAAAATGATCTTCATGCAAACTGATTCAATCTCTATGGCTTGGAAAGTGCTGTTTGAGATAAATTAACTGCCAATCCATACCAGGCATGCACAGTTTTCCACACATTCTTAAAAATATTCTACACATTTAAAAAAACATTCTAATAGTTCTAAATGTTTAATTTAACTTTTCTGTTCTATTATGCGGAATTAAATCTGAAGATGTCTGTTGTATACAAATGAAAACATCAGTTTACAATAACATTTCTACATTTTACTGAATTTGGTGTTGGTGAGTGTTATTTTTGATTTCATTAACTGGGTGAACACCTTTTAAGAAGAATCACAATTGGTTCTCCTTTCTTCAGACCCTTCTGCTTTTGTTTTAAGCACGGTCAAAAAAGTCATCAAGTTTCCAGATGTGTCGTCAACTGTAGATATTAAGATCATGCTTCTACTCAAACTTTTCTGCCCACAGCTATTGTTTGAAGCCAAAATCCACAAAGATAACTCCCTTAAGACTACTAGTTAACAAAAGATCCCATTCAGCATACTTCCTAGAGAAGTCTCCAGCACTGTTATTAACTCTACTCCTTTCTGAATCAAAATTTGTATTCTCATTACTGTATTAGATGTCAAATGCCAAATTCAAAAAGTTTTATCCCCTGCCATCTTCTAGTTGTAAATTTTACAAAATAGATGTTATTTCACTGTACCCCTTAATATCTGTTTTTGAAGCAGTTCTGCTATTTAATAAACATAATGTGCAGTACCCAACAGGCACTGCACATTTGGGAAGCTTTATTCTCAATGATGGACAATAACAAATTTTGTTTCAGATGAAAATTTTATCTACAATGGCAGGAAGTTCCTATGGAATTATCCCTTTTGCAGTCTTAGATGAATTAATAATGAGAAAAATAGAAGCTAGAGTTCTCTTAGTGCCTTTGCCCATATATTTTTCAATCTTATACCTAAGATATTTCCCTCTGTTATATATATAACAGCTGGGAGAGTAAAAAGTTACAGACAACATGCTGTTTAAAATAAATATAGTATATTTGATACTTAGAAAAAGAAAAACAAATCTCAAACTTTTTGAGATTGTCAATGAGAAACTTTTTATTTGTCAATTCATCTTTTATTGGATTATTTCATTCATTATCATCTTTGTCTTTTAGAATATTTTCTGTCATTTTTGCAAATTATAAATATGAAGACTAACCCATCTCTTAATTTGATTGATTTTGACAATCAGTGAACACTGCTCTAAGATAGTTTTCTATTGTTAAGGTGTTAAAATTTGTCAAAAAACCTATACTAACAAAAATGGGATCACAAAAAGTAATCCTTTTTTGGTTTTTAGGAAAGCTGTATGAACCACAACAAAAAATGCATCTCATTATAAATGATATTAATTCTGATACTTCTGGAACATTTGGAAATTGATAAACTTCTTTTGAAATTGCTAATAATTACGTTCTTTTTTAAATCTCTAATGTCTTAAATCTTCTTGAAAATCATAAAATGCCTTTGGAGTGAACTTTAAACTTAACAAAAATAAATTAAAATTTAATTTTTTATTTTCTGTGTAAAATAATGCTATTTAAATTTGTTATATATTAATTAATTTATAAGAAAGCAATTTTGTCCTGTATAACAGCTACTATTATCTTTATGCATCGGAATATTTAGTCAGAAATATAACAAAATTTTAGCAAATGCAAGTAGGCTGGCCACTTGCTGCACTTATATAGGTCAACTACCAAGTAAATTGGTACAATAATGCATAGCATTTGAGTGTACCTACTCTTTGGTGCCATTAAACATATTTTTTTTTTTTTTGCATTTTGCAACTGTCTTTGCTTTAAAAACTATAGCGAATAATTCAAAGATTTTAATTTTGAAATGAGTAGATAACAAAAATGCAAGATCAGGCAATTTTACATGTAATAATGCATATGTTTATTTTTACATAATGTAAAAATCTATATACCAAACATGCTTTTTTTGAAATTCAAACAACATACAATTCCGAAGCCTATTTTTCCAGGAATTTTTCTTTTTTTGATTATGCAAATCCTCTTCAAGGACTAATCTGTTTTGAATTTGGTCTTAGAGAGAGAGCTGCTTAAGATGAACATGCTTAGTCCATAAGTACTTCAGAATTAGTCTGTAGAATTGTATGTTGTGTGAACTAAAGAAAGAAAAAAGAAAGGCAGGTTTGGTTTATGAAATTTAGTGAATTGGAGTTCTTAAGGTTGTAAAAATTTATACAGTAAATTTGAAAATAATACAGAATCTTAAACGAATAAAATACATCAAAGTTACTTTGATATTAATAAAATAAAGCTTTACTAAGCTATTAATGTTTAGATAAATATTGAAGTTTTTCAATATTTATTAAATGTATTCAATAATAAGAGGAGCTAAAATGTTAAATTGTGATACAACAGACTAATTGCAGATAATAAGATATATTCCTGTAATTATAAAGGTAAAATTTTCCATACAGATTTTTTAGGAGTATAGCTTATAATGACAAACAATACGATGATACAAAAGACAGATGATCAATATAAAGCCCTATACTTGAATAACAATATTAATATGAAATTTCTTTTTTACAATATGGCAGGTTTAAATAATAAATTTTGTTTTCTTAATTTCTGGAATCTATATATATAAAACTCAAAGGTGACTGACATAGTGATCTATCAACGCACAGCCCAAACCACTGGACGGATCGGGCTGAAATTTGGCATGCAGGTAGATGTTATGACGTAGGCATCCGCTAAGAAAGGATTTTGATCAATTCTACCCCCAAGGGAATAAAATAGGGGATGAAAGTTTGTATGAAACTTTGTCAATTTTAAACCGATCGGGCTGAGACTTTGCATGCATAAAGCTACTATGACGTAGGCATCCCCTAAGAAAGGATTTTGATAAATTCCACCCCTAAGGGGATAAAATAGGGGATGAAAGTTTGTATAAATCTTCTTAGATTTTCGACTGATTGAACTGAAATTAAAGATTGGAGCTACTATGATGAAGACGTCCGCTTAAATAGGATTTTGATAAATTCAAC